TTTGCATTGATAAATGTATATGCACCCAATGGATCTGAGCGTGTGAGGTCTTTTTTAAAGTTAAGGAGTGCTATTCAGAAAATTGATGACAATGTTTGTAATATCATTGGAGGTGACTGGAATTGTACTATTGATTTTATTATTGATAGAAATGGAGAAGAACCCCATCATGAATCAAGTGTTGCATTGTCAAAAATCTTTAAAGAGTTTGAATTAATGGATATTTGGAGAAGAAGAAACCCTAGAATTAAACAGTATACCTGGCTCAAAGTATCTAACAACAGAGTTAGTGGAGCTCGATTAGATAGATTTTATATTGGTAAAGTATGGGATAGTAAAATTACGAATGTTTCTATTCTACCTGTTGGTTTTTCAGATCACCAGTTGATACTATTTGCTTTGAATATAAAAAAGAATTTAAGACCAAATTATTTCTGGCATTTTAATACTAAGATGTTGCAAGATGCTCTATTTTGTGAGAATTTTTTTTTTTTTTTTTTGGAATGATTGGAAGTTAAAAAAGCTTTCTTTTGAAAATGTGCTTATGTGGTGGGAGGTTGGTAAAGCAAACATAAGAATTTTTTGTCAGAATTATAGTTCACATTCTACATCTATGGTGAAAGCAGCAATGCAAAAACTTCAAAGGGATATTCAAGTTTTGGAGAGTATTATTGTGATAAATAATGATGATGGAAATATAAAAAATGAATATTTGAATAAAAAGAAAGAACTTTGCTCATTACTACAAGAACAAGTGAAAGGAGCATTATACGAGCAAGAATTTGTTCCATTAAGGACATGGATGCTCCTTCCTCATATTTTTTTAACCTTGAAAAGAAAAGCGTCCAGCAAAAGCAAATGTATCATCTTCAGCGGCCTGATGGGGTCATAACCTCTGACCCAGTGGAAATAAGGAAACTGGCTGTAAATTTGTATACGGACTTGTATGATGCTGAGACTTGTGATCCTGAATGTGTTTCTGATTTGTTGAGTGACCTACCGAAGCTGACAAATGATCAGAAAAAAGCCTTGGATGGACAAATTACTTTTCAAGAGATAACTGAGGCAATGAGACAGTTATCTAATGGACGTTCTCCAGGAATCGATGGTTTGCCAGCAGAGTTTTATCAGGCATTTTGGAACGTACTAGGAAATGACTTGTATGGAGTTTTACTGGAAAGTATAAGAAATAAGCTGCTTCCTTTAAGTTGTCGAAGAGCAGTCCTTTCTTTGCTCCCAAAAAAGGGGAGCTTTTAAAGAATTGGAGACCTGTCTCTTTACTTTGCATGGACTATAAAATAATTTCAAAATGCTTAGCAAATAGATTGAAACATGTTTTAGAATTATTAGTTCACAGAGATCAAACATATTGTATCCCTAAAAGGTCTATTGTGGATAATCTTTTTTTGTTAAGAGATGTCATTGATTTTAATCAGTTCAGTAATGTTGACCTGGGTGTGCTTTCATTAGATCAAGAGAAAGCTTTCGATAGAGTCAACCATACATATCTTTTTGAGGTTTTGAAAAGTTTTGGGTTTGGGAAGAATTTTATCTCATATATTCAACTGTTATATTCTGAAGTTTTTGTGATTGTGAAAGCTGGTGGAGGATTGAGTGCACCAGTGCTTGTGTTAAAAGGGATCAGGCAAGGCTGTCCACTGTCTGGACAATTATATAGCCTTGTTATTGAGCCATTGTTGTGCAGGCTAAGAAGGGGTCTCAGTGGAATCAATACCATGCATGGAATTTCGATATCAGCTTATGCTGATGATGTTACTGTTTTTATTTCAAATCAAAATGATGTTAATTTTTTAACTGAAACAATGGAAAAGTATGAAAAGGCATCATCAGCAAGAGTTAATTGGGGAAAAAGTAAGGGACTCATTATTGGCCAATGGAAAAGTGAGCAAGGAACTCCAAAATTACCTGGTGGATTGTTGTGGGAAAGAGATGGGCTGAAAATGCTAGGGGTTTTTTTAGGGAATAAACAATTTGAGAACAAAAATTGGGAGGGACTGCTGGAAAAGGTGTCTGCCCGATTGTTTAAATGAAGATCGCTATTACCATTGATGTCATACAGAGGAAGAGTCCTAGTTGTGAATAATCTGGCTGCCTCAACCTTATGGCATAGACTCATTGTAATGGAACCACCTGAAGATTTGATTTGCAGAATACAGAGAATATTTGTGGACTTTTTTTGGAGTGGAGAGCATTGGATTCGAGCAGCGGCGCTCTACCTTGTTTGTTATGAGGGAGGTCAAGGCCTCGTGGATGTGCGGAGTAAGATCTGTGCTTTCAGATTACAAGCTGCACAGAGATTCCTGTATAACAAGGGTTTAACTCGGGCTGAGACTGCAAAGATGATTCTGCAGAAGGCAGGTGGTCTTAATTTAGACAAACATGTTTCTAATGGAACTGGATATGGTGAACTTGTCTGAGGTTACACTTTTTTACCGGTCAATGTTGCACTCTTGGAGAAGTGTTTTTAAAGTGGAAAGAAATGTTCATGAATCTGGGAGCTGGATACGAGAAGAAGTTTTGTTTTTCAACCCAATGATTCAGACAAGACTTTTGTCATCTGTAAGCGTGCGGGCATGTTTACAAAGACATGGCATTGTGAAGCTGGGGCAACTTCTGAATGACGGCGAATGGGAATCTGTGGAAACTTTGAAAGAAGTAACGGGATTAAAGTCCTCACGCCTGACTGGAAAGCTGGTGGAAGAAATTGTTAATGCTTTACCAAGTGGCTATAGGAGAAATATGAGACAAGATTTTACATCAGACATAAGCAATGAGCTGGACTTTCCTAAAATTAGAGTTGCTGCTGTCGTCGGTCAAAGACAGATGGATGAGGATGAATCCACAGGTTCAATTTTGTCTTTTAAAACTCCAGAGCTGGACTTGTTTGAAACAACATCGAAGAAAGCAATATATAACACTGCAGTTAAAGTTTTAAATCAAGCTTCACTCAAAGGACAAAAGATATCGAAGTGGCCAGTTTTGTTGAAACCAGAATTTCTCGTAAGAGACCGGTGGAGAACTCTGTATAAACCTCCAGTAGAGAAAAGAACAGCCGATCTTCAATGGAGAATAATTCATGGTGCAATAGCCACAAACAAACATGTGGCACACCTGAACCCAGCAGTAGGGGTGGGATGCAGGTTTTGTGGAGAAGAAGAAAATTTGAAACATTTGTTTTTTAAAATGTAAAAGACTGGAAGGTCTTTTTGAAGTTCTTAATAGATTGTTTCAAGTTTTTGGTGAAGATTTCTCAGAGGAAGTTTTTATAGGGGGTGTGAAATATAATTTTTCAAAAAAAAGGAAGATGTGTCTGTTAAAGGGCACCTATTATGCCCCTTTTTACAAGATGTAATATTGGTCTCTTTTACAAGATGTAATATTGGTAATATTGGTAGGGACACCTAGAATGTATTTGTGAAGTTTCAGCTCAAAATACCCCACAGTTAATTTATTATAACCATTTGAAAATGTCATTTTGGGGCCTGCTTAAAAATGACCTGTTTCGGAGGTATACGGCTTTAAATGCAAATGAGCTGCATATCCCCGCCCTGCCTTTGGATGAGGGCGTAACTTGATACCTATGGAAGTCGGTAAGCAGAAGGGCTAAGAGAGTGAGAGACGCGCTGTTTTGAATGTCATTCAGCTTATGTTTGAATCGGAATATATAAATAGCACGAAGAGACTCCGGCAGAATAAACATAAATGAGAATGGACCAGTACGTCTCGGTATGGTTATTTGATACATTTATGTATTTTAGCGTTGTAATCGCGTTCCCTTTGAAATGATGGGCATGTGCAACACAGACACACATAAACACTAATGCTGGCGCAATTTTTTTGAAATTACAGACACATACTGTGATAAAGTTTGCTACGTACAAGCGAAATTACATTTATGCGAGGGACGGGGACCTGTGGTGTCATGTTTACTTGTCATACGGGTGCTTCTGTGGCAAATGTGAGGAGATGGCTAACATACAGAACAACAACATATGCAGTTTTTAATACAATATCTTTAAATATATATAAACGTGTGGTTACACACTATACAAACAAGGTTTAAATTATATAGCCTACAAAGACATCCTACAACGACAACAACTTTAGACGCATTTGTTGTTGAATTGGCTGACATTGACTGAAAAGACTATTTGCTCAAAAATCATAAAATACACTTACTGTTACTGGGGTGACGGTGGATCGCAGACGGTAGATGACGATCCACAGTTGACGATTAACTTTTAAGCTACAACAACAGGATTAACCCACGAGTCCACGACAGAACACCTATGTTTCCAAGAGACATTACCGGCTGTCGTCGTTGAAACAATGGAGGATGATGTGTAGATCACCGAGGTCTAGGCCACAGCCACACTGTCAATCAACCCCCTGTCTCCCGCTCTACGTCACAAAGAGCTGAATCTCAGAACAGCTCGTTCTGAGGCAGTGCATATGATTTATTGAGATTGTAAAAAAAACACTGGGTGGATTTTTATCATTCTAGGGTGGTTTTGCTCACACACTGCCAACGCACATTTATGTTCAAACACCATGTAAAAGTGAATTTTCCATAATAGGTGCCCTTTAAATTATTTAACAGGAACTGCGAAATTGGCAATATGGAAAACCAGGAAAAATCAAGGATTGCAGCTTAATAGTATTAATGTTGAAGTGTTGTTTATGAAATTAGTGGCTGGTAGACTAAAAATAGAATTTGCATACTATAGTCTTGTGAATAATGAGAAGGGTTTCAGTGATCTGTGGTGTGTTAATGATGTTTTGTGTGTTGTTTCTGATGGAAATCTGGTTTTGGATTTTTAATTTTTATAAATTTATATATTTTTTTTCTTTTTTCCCCATATACACAAATGTTAATTGTTGAATATTAAGTGTTGTTTTAAATAAAGTTTTGTAAACCTCTCTCTCTCTGTCTCTCTCTCTCTCTCTTTCTCTCTCTCTCTCTCTCTCTGCTAATGTAGGTTAAGCTACTGTTATATGACAGATGAAGGTTGTTCTGATGTGACTTCAGCTCTGAAATCAAACCCGGCGTCACACCTGAGAGAGCTGGACCTGAGCAGGAATAAACTAGGAGACTCTGGAGTGAAAAACCTCAGTGATCTACTGATGAACCCACAATTCAAGCTGGAGAAACTACAGTTAGTGTCATTATACTGTACAGCAATTACAGCAGTGGCGGGCCGTGCATTTCACACCTAGACCATCTGTCCTACCTGAATTAAAAACTTTTAATAGTGTATCAGCGCAAAGACTCTCTATAATTGTTGTTTTTATTTTGCACCGGCAGTTATTGGATTAATGCGGTGAGTTCGGGAGAGGCCGGTAGAGAGAAACGAGCGCGTGAGTTCGGCTGGTGCGTTTGTAAAGTGGTTCTTGCGTTACGAATCCGATTATAAGTTCAGAAACGAAGCCTCACTTATCTTGTCGTTCAAGGGTTACAATAGTCCCTTTTCAGACGTTACAATAGTATGAATGTTTGAAAAAAATTAAGTTTCGATCATAAATTTATACAAAAAATTAAGAAGAAAATCATATTCACCACGGGGGAAAAAGCATATGAAGAGTTCAGATGCAAAAGCCTCTAAGTGCCAGTTGAAATTTTCTTCTAGAATGATCATTTTTATCAAGCTTGTATATTTAAGTTCAGTGATTTCACTTAAATGGCGATGATGATTACCTATTAATTGTTATTTAAGTGAAATTACTGAACTTAAATATACAAGTTTGATAAAAATCATCATTAAAGAAGAAAATTTCAAATGGCATTTAGAGGCTTTTGCATCTGAACTCTTCATATACTCACCAAAACTACAGATTATTTTTTTTTACACAAAATCCATCCTTATTTCTTTCCTCAAGAAGACTTCAATTACTGTCGTACAGGTTCTAACTGCGTTTCAGTTCCAATAATGTTGTGTCTGTCCCGTCTTATTTCTAGCATAAATTTTAATTTGCTTTATGGCTGAGAGTGCCTGTTCGACAGAAGGACACAGTCACCGCAAAACATGACGATGTGTACAGCTGCCCCATGCTCTCACACAGAGTTTTGACCGAAATCAACGAGATCAGCGGGACTTTTGCCTTCAAAATCATTCGTTTCATATCTTACATTAGTCAGTTCTGTTTTTACCCGGAGAGATCGAATAGAGTCCCGTTACTCTGCGTTTAGCTCAGGCTGAATAAGGGATTTTTTTCTGCTGGTGGTCGAGGAGGGAAAGAAACATTAATTTGTGGGTTGAAATCTATTACATCTACAGGAATATATTTTAGTTTATGCAGTTGGCTACAGATGTGGATACTACCAGTAATAGTAAGCGCTCTGTACGCGCATCCAATCAAAGAACGAGAAATACAGATGTTATTATACGCCTGCTAGATGGCCCCGCTGCAGTCAAAGCGAAATCTGATTGGCTGATTAAATCTGACGGATTATCTGATTGGTTAAAGAAACAGTTTCATTGCCTTTCATTTTAAGTTACAGGCGCCTGCACTGTCGATTCTGAAGGCCTCCAGGCAGATTTATTTGACCCTGGAAACACATGATAGCTGAAATATGATTGGATACAAGCTCTAACATAAAAACACAATACTGGAAGCAGCGCAACCAAGAGAAAAACTATGAAATTAAGAGAATGAACTATTGGGAATAATTTAATATTCATGCAAAAAATATATTAAAGTGCAAGTCAGTGATTCTGATCGTGTTTAAGCAGAGAAGGCCTTGCTGGCCCTGACGGCCCACCACTGAATTACAGTGTGACTGAAGTTTATTTATTTGAAGACAGCAGGGCTTATGTTTCATTGGTTATAGCAGTGCACTTTCTGGGTTTACCTATACACATTTGTGTGTGTTTTTTTTCTAGTTAGCTTATACAGTGTATTGTAATTGATTTCACTGCTTTAAAATTGAATCAATATTTTTGAGTGTGAACATTTTTCACCAAAAAAATGTAGTAAATCATATAAAACTTTTTAGACTGTAGATAGTAATTGTTTAATTCCCAGCATCTGATACAATGTACTGATTGTGCACACGCAGAAATCTGCATTTTCAACAGACAATAAAGAAGAGAGACGACAAATAAATAGTTAGAAATGAAAGAGAAGAAACAGTGTCTTCCAGCGCACAGAACTAGTGTGACTGGGTTTTAAAACAGACTATTGGAAACTAAATGCTGCTGTAGCTCTTCAATAAGATGATCATCATAGATGTGAACTATTGTTATTTCTCTGTCTTCAGTCTGAGTGATTGCAGTATTACAAAGAAACAGAGTCTCATCCTGACTTCAGCTCTGAAATCAAACCCGTCACACCTGAGAGAGCTGGACCTGAGCGAGAATAATCTAGGAAACACAGAAGTGAAGCACTTATGTGCCGTACTGAAGGATTCACACTGTAAACTGGAGAGATTGAGGTCAGTCACATTCACACACAAGAATCAAAATGCTTAAAATCACTTCAACTGTTTAAACTAAAACACATTAACATTATATTTGTACAAACATTTTCACCTTAGTATTTTGTGATCTGGTGAAATAAAGATGAAGATCTCTCTTCCTCTGTTTTATTTGCTGATGACGATGATGTGACTTTACAGAATAAAGAGTCTCTTATTTTCTCAATTCAATTCAATTCAAAATTGCTTTATTGGCATGACTGTATCATACAATATTGCCAAAGCTTGGAATACATAGAATAATTATAAAGACATCAACATAGTAAAATAATATAGCATTTTAAATTGATTGTACAAATTAACAGTGTAAAATAAATAAAATGGAACAGTTTATGAACATTTAAAAATTCTGTGAAGAATTTAGAAAAACAATGCGTATGAGTGTGTGGTGTACAGGGGTGTGTGTGTGTGTGTGTGTGTTGGCGCATCACTGATTGGTCGTCGACTCTCTCTTTTTGTGACATGCATCAATGTATCTGGCTGCTAGTGTGATACAATCTTTTTTTTCACCTAATAGATGTTGTAATTGTGTTTTGTTATTTAATTGCATGAATTTAGGGTAAAGTATTTCAAATTTTGTGTAAAAAGTCCCTCTAATGTCCTCATAGTTGGGGCAGCTGGTGAGGAAGTGTTGCTCGGTCTCCACTTCTCCCTGCTCACAGTACGGGCAGTCGCGTCTCTCTCTGGGCCGCCAGTTCTGTCTGTGTCGGCCCGTCTCTACAGTCAGTGTGTGATTGCTCAGTCTGTACCTCGTCATCCTTCTTCTCAGTTTGCAGTCTTTCACTGTACCCAGGTATTCTGCAGTGGTGTAGTCTCTATTTAGGGCCAAATAACATTCAAGTTTACTTTGTTTCTCTGTAGTTTTAGTCCAGTAGGTCAGGTAATTCTCTCGTTGTGCTTGTATGATGTGTTTGGGCCGGATTGTGTGTGTGAGAGTGTGTGTGTCCTGAGGCGGAGTAAGGTTAGTGGTGTCAGTGTGTGTGTGGAGCCGCAGGACCAGCTGAAGGAGCCGGCTCTTCTCAGGGTTCATCTCATGGGTTTTAAGGGCTTTAAAATGATAAGAGTTGGGGTCACTCATCTTTAGATGTTTCCAAAATGTGATGATTCGTTTTTGAACGTGTATTAGCAGAGGGTATTGGCCTAACTCTGCCCTGCATGCATTGTTCGGTGTGTTCCTCTGTACTCCCAGGATACTCTTACAGAACTCGGCATGCAGGGTTTCAATCGGGTTTTTGTCCCATTTGTCAAATTCATGATTTAGGAGAGGACCCCAAACTTCACTGTCATATAATGCGATCGGTTCTATGACTGATTGGAATATTTTGAGCCAGATTCGGATTGGTATTTCAATTTGGATAGATTTTTTGATGGCATAGAAGGCCCTTCTTGCTTTCTCTTTCAGTTCATTCACGGCCAAGTTTAGGTTTCCAGTTGCACTTATGTTCAGCCCAAGGTATGTGTAACTCGTGACATTATCAATTTTGGTCGTACCAAGGGTGAAATTGTCTCTTTCCTTGACTTCTGGGTCTTTTCTGAAACGTTATTATTTTAGTTTTTGTTGGGTTAATGGTCAGGGCCCAGGTCTGACAGAACTGATGCAGGGTGTCCAGGTTCTGCTGTAGACCCTCTTGTGTTGGAGACAGCAGGACCAGATCATCTGCATACAGCAGGAGCTTTACAGTGGAGTCGTGTAGTGTGAGGCCAGGGGCTGCGGACTCTTCCAGGAGTTTCGCCAGTTCATTAATGTAGATATTGAAGAGAGTCGGTGATAGTGGGCAGCCCTGTCTCACACCCCGCCCTTGAGTGAAGAACTCAGTGTGTTTATTGCCAATTTTAATAGCACACTGATTGTTTGAGTACATAGTTTTTATAATGTTGTATGTTTTGCCCCCGATACCTGATTGTAGAAGTTTAGAAAGAAGGCCTTCATGCCAAATCGAATCAAAGGCCTTCTGGAAATCTACAAAGCAAGCAAATATTTGTGTTTTGTTTTGGTTGATGTATTTATCAATCAGGGTATGGAGGGTGAAGATATGGTCTGATGTTCTAAACTTTGGTACGAATCCGATCTGGCTTTTGCTCAGGACGTTGTGCTCTGTGAGGAAGTGAACGAGTCTCGTGTTGATGATGCTGCAGAACATCTTCCCCAGATTACTGCTCACACAGATGCCCCTGTAATTGTTCGGGTCTGATGTGTCTCCACTCTTGAATATGGGTGTTATAAGTCCTCTATTCCAGCTGTCAGGGAAATGACCAACACTCAGAACCAAGTTGAACAGCTTCATTGTGGCCAATTTGAATTTGGCATTTATATTTTTAAGCATCTCGTTTAGTATGCCGTCTGGTCCTCTTGCCTTTTTTGTTGGCAGAGCCTGAATTTTATCCATCAGCTCTTTTTCTGTGATTGGGTAATCTAGTGGATTTTGGTATCTGCCAATTATGTTTTCAATATGGTTTAATTTTTCAAATATTTGTCTTTGTTTTATATTCATTTCTAGTTTGCTATAAAGTTTTTCAAAGTGATTTTTCCAGGTGTCTCCGCCTTGAATAGTAATTTGTTCATGTTTCTTTTTATTCAGGAGATTCCAGTTGTCCCAGA